TACCGGGGATACGGCAACTCTGCAGAGCTCGCGTACAACCACCTGAGGAACCTGTATCAAGCAACAGACAGCGTAAATCAAAGTCGGTTAATGGCGCAACTGACGACAGTCGAAATGAAACCAGGCGAAAAGGGGATGGCGTATATCAGCCGTTGTCACGAATTGCGCGACAAACTCCTTTGATGCGGAGGGTCGATTTCAGAAAACGCCTTCGTCTTAGTCATCATCGGCGGCCTCGGTCCTCAGTGGCGCTCCACTCGCGCCATACTCCGAGCCCACGGAAAAATATCAGAAGCAGCACTCTGCGCCGTGATCCACGCTGAGCAGCAAGATATGGACATGCAAGAAGAACGATACAAAAGGAAGGCATCAGTGCCCGAAATTCGCATTTCACACTCAACGGCGCAACAACAACAACAACTATCGGCATCAACCGAAACGAGTACCTTCGTTCTGTCACCTTTGCAAGACATCAGGCCACCCCCGCACACACTGCCCAAACCGTCCACTTCGCCCTTCAAGCAGTCAAGTCGCCTCAACGCAAGCGAATCCGACCTCTCAAGTACAAGCCTCAACAACATCGACGGGACAACCTGCGCAAGGAACAAGAAACATCATCAGTTGCATGACACGGCTAAACGACTCCTGCATCACAGAGTCACCACCACATTACTCACCGGAAGAGACAACATCGACAACAGCAAACGCAACATCAGCAGCAGCAGCAACATCACCGCCAATCGATGGTCCTTCAACTACATCGACTCAAATTGACGATACTCCACCAACTCCTGCGCAACAGCTTCACCCAAAATCTCGAGAAGTACATCGAAGTGCAAATTTCACCGCAAGCTTCTACTCCAACTCCGACTTGTATCGTCGCTCACCCGGACATCGCGCTAGCGAAGACATCTGGCACGCACGAATGGGACATCCAAGTAACACAGTGTTAAACAACACAATCAGAGCAGGAGTACTCGACAAAGATTCACTGCTCCTAACCGATGGAAGCGAACTTCGACGAGCTCGTGGAACGTGCTTTACCTGCCCCGAAGCTGACTTACCACATCGGCCATTCACTTCTCACCACAACCCCAGCGCACCAGCTTACGCACCACTTGAGAAAGTGTACAGCGACATCCTGTACAATCGCGAACCTGGACAAGGAGCATACAGCTACACCATCACGTTCATCGATGACACTACGCGTTACGTTTGGCACCTCAACCTTCCGAGCAAGGACATGGCTTTCGAAGCCTTCATCGCTTGGCTCCCAGTAGCAGAACGAGAATCGGGCGTGAAGCTAAAAAGCTTCCAGTCAGACGGCGGAGGAGAATACACCTCACAGATGTTCAAGCAGTTCTTGGCAGAAAGGGGAATCAAGAGGCTCATCTCGCTTCCCTACGCCCATCAACAGCAAGGCGTGGCGGAACGGATGAATCGAACTCTCCAGAACACCATGCGCAAATTACTGCGTGGCATGCGACTGTCCAATCACCAATGGCCTGAAGCGATGGACCACGCTGTCATGCTGCACAACTTGCTTTCGTCGTCATCACTGCCGAACAACGCATCACCGCACCTGCTGTGGACAGGAAAACAGGGCAGCACAAAAATGTTAAGGGTTTTCGGATGCATGGTACAGTACCGAACCCCATCTGCACGAGCCGGCCGATTTTCCCAACGCGCACAGTGGGGACTACACCTGGGCATCGAAAGAAATTACAACGCGTGGAAGATTTTCGACGTCCACTCCAAAGAAACAGTAGCAGCACGTGATGTCATTTTCTACGAACGACTCACCCTTCCGACATACCTTGCCAACCTGACAGAAGACCGGGACCCCACAGGTGGTTTCCATGGTGATCGAGCCTTCGCCTCGGCAGCAGACGAAGCTGACTGGGACGAGCAGAACGTGGATAACGCCTCGGAAGAAGCAGGACCACTCCCATACTGCTCCGTGCCTATCCCGATGGACGACGAAACTCCTCGCGAAAGCGTCAACGCCGAAACTTATTTCAACTTCGCCGACACCGGTTACGTTACACCTGCAGACGTCAACACCAACGAAGCAGAACGCATAGGGCCCAACTCCATACCTGACCCAGAAACAGGCGACGAAGCAGCTTATCCCGCGGACACAACTCTCCCCCGCTACACACAGAGTGGCCTTCAGAAACTCGGCCTAGTCACCGCGGTCCACGGCACCGAAACTCCTAAGGAGCCAGCCACAGTTCAGCAGGCTCTAGGGGGGGAACATAGGGAAAAATGGCGTGAAGCCATGGACAAGGAACTCGAAGCACTGAAGGAGCGCAACACCTGGAAAGTGGTCCCTATCGGCGTGGCACGAAACAAGACAATACTCACCGGGAAGTGGGTCTTCCGTGTGAAAACGAAAGCAGACGGCACCATTGACAAGTTCAAGGCACGATGGGTCGTATGCGGCTTCGACCAAGAGCACGGACGCGATTTCACCAAGACATTCGCTCCGGTCAGTCGACACACCTCACTACGGATTCTTCTCGCGATCGCCGCTATGAAGAAAAGGAACTGCGGCAAATCGACGTCGCCAATGCATTCCTTTACGCACCTGTTGACGCCGAAATCTACGTCGAACTCCCACACGGTTCCCACGGAGAGCCCAACCAAGTCTGTCAGCTGCAAAAATCCCTGTACGGGATCAAACAGGCCCCGAGACTATGGCAGCAGTACCTACACGCTCGACTCACTCGCATCGGATTTCGGCAGCTACCACACGACCAAGGCATGTACCGGCTCACGAAAGGCGACGACTACATTCTATTAATCGTCTACGTAGACGATCTACTCTACATCGGATCGATCGACAACGTCACTACCTGGTTCGAAGGAGAGTTACAGAAAGACCTCACGCTCACAGTCTCATCTACCGTCACGCAGTACCTCGGTCTCAATATCCAGGAAGGAGAAAGCGCGATCTACCTCAACGCCGCAAAATATGCCGATACCATCGCCAAACGCTTCGCACTCACGCCAACTACCATCTCTACGCCATACCGCTACACGGCAGGAAACAACAAGGAAGAATCTGCTCCACTAAAGCCCGCCGGCATACGCGACTACCAGAGAAAGCTGGGATGTCTTCTCTTCGCAGCTGTTACCTGCCGCCCGGACCTATCATACTCCGCAAGTCAACTCGCCACCTACCTCAAAAGGCCCGAAGCTGAACACATGACGGAACTAGACCGCGCTCTTCACTACCTCGTTAGTACTCCAACGATCGGGCTGATCTACTACAAGAACAGAACTACAACGCCCAAATTAATCGGCTACGTCGACGCCGACCACGCCGGGGATTCTGACAACAGGCGCTCGCGCACAGGCTACATCTACCGTCTCGAGCCTATCGGACCTATCTCGTGGCAGTCGAGTAAGCAGGAATTAATCGCTCTCTCCTCAGCCGAAGCAGAATATATCGCACTCTGTTCAGCCACCAAGGAAGGATTGTACCTTCGCGAACTCCTGGAGGAAGCGAAGCTGGCTCAGTTACCCAGCTTCTCCTTGTTCTGTGACAACCAGTCGGCAATTCGCATAGCCAACAAAAACGGATTCGCGAACAGGACGAAGCATATCGCCCTGCGATATTTCTTCGTAAAGGACGAGATCGAGAAGGGGAGACTTGAGCTGTCTTACTGCCCCACATCCGAGATGGCAGCTGATTACTTGACCAAGAAGCTCGGAAAGTCGAAGTTCGAATATTGCATGCTGCTGACTGGACAGAGCCACGTCACCAGCAGCGACACTCCAGAAGCGAAGGGGAGTGTCGGAAACAATTGATTTAAGCGCTTCTGTCGTGTCGAAACACCAAGTCAGAAGCGAAGCAAATATATCGAAGCATCAGCGAGTCAACCCTCGGAGGTTGAACAACTGCTGGAGGTTACGCGAAAGTCAAAGGTCAGCGACCTTTGACCTGACAAAGTACAGCGCGACAGCAAGGACAAACAACTGACTCGCTACTGAGCAGTTGCCCGAGTCGACACTGTATCGAACCGCAACAGCAATGGTAAAACGGTTATTAGTTATAACCTTTCATATTCCCTTGTATTCTTATAAAAGCTTGTATCTCTTTGTTTTAATCAATCAACTTTGCCCTCACATACCAGCGCAAGGTGGTTCACAATCCTTTTATTAAACGCTTCCGCTATTACATTGTCCTACCCTTGAATTCTGTCCTGCAAAGATCCTAAGGGCTTTTTCTCAACCCAACACTCAGAAGGCATGCAGCCTTCACGGGATAGAACCTGGTGCTCAGGTCGTCACTAGCAATGCGATAGCAAGAGTAATTAGGTCTCGATTTCGCGATTCCTGCAATTCCGATTATAAGTTTCTAGGTACCGCCAGATTCGTGTGCTTGACCCTGACCCTCCATGGCTTACTTATTTATTCGATCAGCGTATATCGGGGAATCATTGTGAAATAAGTGCTGCAGCTGATGGCTGTCAGAATCCCAACCACTAGACCATTGGGATAAAAGGCTTGTTAAGTAGCGGGTCAGTGCGCCCATAACCCCCCAGGCCAACATGCCTGTAACCCTTCCCTAGGATCAATCGGGGATCACCAGTAGACCTCTGACACCCCCCCGCACTGGGATGCCCGAAGTGCACACACTGGGATTCGAACCCGAGACCTTCGCTCTGATAACATGTCAGAATCCCAACCAGTAGACCACTGGGATAAAAGGGCTTGTTAAGTAGCGGGTCAGTGCGCCCATAACCCCCCAGGCCAACATGCCTGTAACCCTTCCCTAGGATCAATCGGGGATCACCAGTGGACCTCTGACAATGGCGCCAGTGTGATTCAAGTGTGGAGTGCGAATGCCGCGGGTGGGGGAAGCGGAAATGAATGATGAGGGGGAGCGGTTACTGGCGGAGATATGGCGGACGGCGGAGAGTTCCGCGCAAAAGACTGGCAGAAGCGTTGAAGGAGGCGACGTATGTAGCAGCGACGAAACAGTATCGCGGATGTACAACGGCGACTCGACGGGCAGAGAGACGGATGCCCTTTTGGAGAAAGGCGCTTATAAAGGGACGGGCAATAACGAGTACGGGGACGGGCAGGATGTTGTAACGGGGGGAAGAAGGCTTGTGCGGATAAGGGAGGGGATGTTAGCAGTGGGCGCAGAGAAGGGCGTGCCACGTGGCGTCGTAATATTGGTTGTCGTGTTCCTGGACCTATTTGCAGTTGGCATGGCCATGCCGCTCGTTACGTCGCTAATCAAGGAGCTAGGTGAGCTAATTATTTTAAAATTCAGTGTTTCCTCTGCTGACAGAATCTATCCATTGGCTTTTTGAAATTTCATTGTAAGATGGTGCTGTTGCTGCCAACAATCCAACTTCTACTGCCTCTCTTGACCCTCCCCCTGGCCCTACCCCCTGCCCCCTCGTCTCCCTCCCCCCACTCCTCCCCTGCTCCCTGCTCCTCCCGTACTGGGTGTGCTGCCACTGAAAACCGCTGTTCATGCTAGGAGCGTCCCCTTTACAGGTCGGCTTCCTCTCGTCTACATATGGAGCTGTGCAACTCGTTACTGGCCCATTCTTGTAAGCCAGCCTCGCTCCCCTTTTCTTACTCTCCGCTCGCGCTGAACAGTGAACCATTTCTATAAAGAAGTGTTTTGAGACGTCTCAAAACACCGCTCACGCTGAACAGTGAACCATTTCTCATCTCAGCATTCCACGCTGTGCCTGGTCTCGACACGAGCTGCTTGCTGCTGGCGACTTGAGGTGCGTGTGTGTGACCTCTTTTCCTCGAATCTAAACAAATACCGATAGCCCTCCCTCTTTCCCTCGCTGCCTGTCTCTTGACATCTCCGTGTGTTCCCCCAGGGTCTGCTGAGTGACAGCATGGGCAGGCGGGTTGTGATTCTAATGTCGTATGCTGGCGCAGGGGAGAGCTACCTGCTTCTAACGAACACCTGTTGCCCTCTTCCCTCGCTCTCTGCGTGTCCTCTCTCTCAGGGTCTGTTGAGTTACAGCATGGGCAGGCGAACGGTAACTTTGGAGTCAACTCAAAACATCACCTGTTGCCTTCTTCCCTTTGCTCCCTCTCTCATTGTGCCCCCGCGTTTCCCCTCAGGGTCTGCTGAGTGACAGCATGGGCAGGCGGGTTGTGATTCTGGTGTTATATGCTGGCGCAGGGGCGAGCTATCTGCTGCTGGGGCAGAGCAGCAGTGTCACGGTGAGAGAAGAAGGGGGGTGAGAGGCGGGGGATGGGGGGGAAGATTGGGGCCAGCTACCTGGTGCTACCGTGCTAGGGCAGAGCAGCAGTGTCACGGTGAGTGAAGAGAAGAAGGGGGGGGGCGGGGGATGAAGAGGGGAAGGGTATTGAGGGGGGGGGGGGGGATGGGGGCGAGCTATCTGCTGCTAGGGCAGAGCAGCACTGGAACGGTGAGAGACACGTGACACAGCACGTGACGAGTTTGAAGTGAGTGGAACCAATTGTTCCGGATAGGATTTTCATCTCTCCTTGTTGTGTTCATGCCTCACTCCCAATGCACATGTGACCTCTTTCCCTACATGTCCTCTCGCAAGTGAAATTCTGTTCGGCTCGTTTTCTTGGACGGTTTCACTTTGCAACTATGCGATTCGTTCAGTGTCGATTCGGCTGTTGCAGACACTGTTTGGCACGATCTGGCCTATTTTGAACCGCCTTTGATCCTCCTTTCAGCCTCCTTAAAATGCTCTCTAAACCACCCTTCACCACCCTTCACCACCCTTCACCTCCCTTACACCTCCTCTGGATAACCCTCCAAACCTGTCTTACAACCTCTGGAGCTTCTCCTTTAATCCACCCCCGCATCCCTCCAGACTTAGGATAGAATAGTAGCTTGACTTAGGAACCATGGCTTGGGTTCAGGGCATAAGTGTCGAGTGAATTTTGGGTGAGGAAAGTCGAGAAGGAAGAATGAGTGGTTTCACTAGCAAGAGTTGGGATACAAATACAACACCCTAAATTGGGTTGTACTCATTACAGAGTACCCCACTGCAGGCTAGACAGCAAATACATTCTGACACACCCCCATAGTCAAAGTGGGGTATAATCAGCAGAGCAAGCACTCATAGAGCAGGTTCACAAGTACAAGCAAAGCTAGAGGCATACACAAAAGGCAAGTGAGGAGGAGGCTGGACTGTGAGAGGAGAGGAGATAGGAGGCGACGGCTGATGCTGCAGACACACGGGCAACAGGAGCGGCGCGCACGGTAGCTACCAGAGCACATTTCCCCGGACTACAGGAATAACTGGCTCTGCGGCTAACTCTGAGCGGCAGGAGCAACAGACCCACGGGCAATAGGCGCAGCAGGCTCTCTGAGCTACCAGAAGCAGAGCCCCGGACTACAGGTGCTGCGGACGACAAGACGGCAGCCTCTGCTCAACCTCCCTCAACTGTCCCACCCCCCTTACACACACCGCTTGCTGCACCCCTAGCTCCACTCCCACGTCACCCCCCTAGCACCACTCCCTCGGCTCCCACACACCCACCCCCCTCAGCGGCAGCTGCAGCAGTGGGAGACGAAGGTGGAGGAGGAGGAGGGGACGGTTCACACACCCGCCACCCCCATACCCGCCACCCCGCAGTTGCACCCACACCCGCCACCCCCATACCCTCCCCCCACCGCTGCACCTGCAGCAGGGGATGGTGGAAAAGGGGGAGGGTGGTGGGGGCGGGGGGTGGGCTGGTGCTGCAGATCCCCTCCCCCCCACTGTTGCACCCACAGCAGGGGGAGGTAGGAGAAGGGAGGGAGGGGGGGGTGGGGCGGGGGGGGGGCTGGTGCTGCAGATCCCCTCCCTCCCACTGCTGCACCCGCAGCAGGGGGAGGTAGGAGAAGGGGGGGGGGGGGGCTGGTGCCGCAGATCCCCTCCCCCCCCACTGCTGCACTCGCAGCAGGGGGTAGGTAGGAGAAGGGGCGGTGCAGGAGCCGCTCGGGCGACAGCAGGTTGGCCACACCCGCCACCCCCATACCCTCCCCCCCACTGCTGCACCCGCAGCAGAGAGATGGAGGAGAAGGGGGGGGGGGGGGGGGGGGGGCTGGTGTTGCAGGTCCCCTCCCCCAACTGCCGCATCCGCAGCAGGGGGATGGCAGATCGCTTCCCCCCCACTTCTGCACCCGCAGCAGGGGGAGGTAGGAGAAGGATGAGGGGGGGGAGGGGATGAGGGGGGGGGGGGGGGGGGGGGGGGGGGTCGGTGCTGCAGATCCCCTCCCCCCTTCTGCTGCACCCGCAGCAGGGGGAGGTAGGAGAATGGTTGGGGGGGGGGCTGGTGCTGCAGATCCCCTCCTCCCTCCCCCTGAACCTCCAAGCTCCCCCCCCTCTCCCAACACAAGGTGCGGCAGGGAGAGAGAGAGGAGGAGGCATGGCGGCAGCTGGTGCTGCTGATGCACATCCGCCACCCCCTCACACCCTCTCCCCGCCATCCCCATGGAGGGGGGGGAGGGGGGGGAGGGGGGCGGGGGCGGAGCTGCGCGTGCGACTGTAGGGCACGCGGGCAGGAGGAACCCCCTCTTGCCACCCCCTCACCCACCATGTTGCAACAGGGCACCGGGGCCGCGGTTAGGGGCGGCAGGTCGCGAGGGGCCATGGCTAGGGGCAACGGGGCCATGGCTAGGAACGGGGCCGGGCGCTGGGCAGGTACGGGGCCGGGTGCTGGGCTAGGGACGGGGCCGGGTGCTGGGCAGGTACGGGGCCGGGCGTTGGGCAGGTACGGGGCCGGGCGCTGGGCAGGTACGGGGCCGGGCGCTGGGCAGGTACGGGGCCGGGCACTGGGCAGGAACGGGGCCGGGCGCTGGGCAGGTATGGGGCCGGGCGCTGGGCAGGTACGGGGCCGGGCGCTGGGCAGGTACGGGGCCGGGCTCTGGGCAGGTACGGGGCCGGGCGTTGGGCAGGTACGGGGCCGCGCGCTGGGCAGGTACGGGGCCGGAGCGCGGGCCAAGTACGGGGCCGGGCGCGGGCGTTATACGGGCCGGGCGCGGGCTAGGTACGGGGCCGGGAGCTGGCGACAGACGGGGCCGGGCGCGGGCTAGGTAGGGGCCGGGCGCGGGGCTAGGAACGGGCCGGTCGCGGGCGAGGTACGGGGCCGGGCGCTGGCGAGGGACTGGGCCATTCGCGGGGCTAGATACGGGCCGGGGGCGGGCAAGAGACGGGGCCGGGCGCAGGCGTAAGACGTGGCCGGGCGCGGGCTAGGTACGGGCCTGTCGCGGGCTAGGTACGGGGCCGGGCGCTGGCTAGGGTCGGGGCCGTGCGCTGGGCTAGGTACGGGCCGGGCGCGGGGCTAGGTACGAGCCGAGCGCGGGCGAGAGACGGGGCCGGGCGCAGGCAGGGTACGGGCCGGTCGCGAGGCTAGGTACGGGCCGGGCGCGGGGCTAGGAACGGGGCCGAGCGCGGGCAGGGTACGGGCCGGTCGCGAGGCTAGGTACTGGCCGGACGCGGGGCTAGGAACGGGGCCGAGCGCGAGGCTAGGTACGGGCCGATCGCGGGCTAGGTACGGGGCCAAGCGCGGGCGAGGTACGGGCCGGGCGCGGGGCTAGGAACGGGGTCGAGCGCGGGCTAGGTACGGGCCAATCGCGGGCTAAGTACGGGCCGGGCGCGGGGCGACGGAGTCGACGGGGCCAGCGGGGCCGAGGGGCGCGGCTAGGGGCGACGGGGCCAACGGGGCCGAGTGTCACAGCTAGGGGCGACGGGGCCAAGGGGCCGAGCCTAGGGGCTAGGGGCTACGCCAAGGGGCGACGGGCCGGGGCCTAGGCTAGCAGGGCATTAGGTGGTGGGCCCATTGATCTTAGGTCCTAGAACTTATTGCTCTTAATACCATGTTAGAATAGTAGCTTGACTTAAGAACCATGGCTTGGGTTCAGGGCATAAGTGTCGAGGGAATTTTGGGTGAGGAAAGTCGAGAAGGAAGAATGAGTGGTTTCACTAGCAAGAGTTGGGATACAAATACAACACCCTAAATTGGGTTGTACTCATTACAGAGTACCCCACTGCAGGCTAGACAGCAAATACATTCTGACAGTCATCTCCCGAGTGCTACTAGGAATCACCAAGCACAGCATGAACGCAGTGAAGGCGTATGTGGCCTCCCAGCAACCCCACCTCCTGTGATCCCCTTACCACCTTCCTTACAACCTCTCGAATGCCTCTTTAACCCCCCTCCCGCTTCCCTCCAGATGGTGATCATCTCTCGAGTGCTACTCGGCATAACCAAGCATAGCATGAATGCATTCAAGGCGTATGTGGCCTCCCAGCAACCCCACGCCTTGTGTGAACACCAGTTCAAACCTTCCTTACAACCTCTCGCTCCATTCAGATGGTAGTCATCTCCCGAGTGCTACTGTGCATCGCCAAGCACAGCATGAATGCAGTGAAGGCGTATGTGGCCGATCACACCACAGCCGGAAACAGAGCCGTGGAGATGGGCAGGTGAGGTGCCAGCTTGTTTGGGTCATGGCAGGTGGAGCTGGGCAGGTGAGGCGGCTGGCACATCTGGGTACTATGTCAAGGAGTAGTGGTGAAGGCGTATGTGGCCAATAATACGACGCCAACCAACAGAGCCGTGGAGCTCGGCAGGTGAGGCGTCAGCTTGAAAAGGGGAGGTTCAGTGAGGCAGCTGGCACAACTACGTACTATGTCATGGAGTAGTGGTGAGGGCGTACGTGGCAGATCCCACCATGCGCACCACCAGAGCTGTGGAGCTGGGCAGGTGAGGAGAGTTTTGAGATGTCCCAAACCGGCAGCTGGGGAACGGGTGAGGTTTGGCAATAGGTGAGGTTTGGCAATGGGTGAGGTTTGGCAATGGGTGAGGTTTGGCAATAGGTGAGGTTTGGCAACGGATGAGGTTTGGCAATGGGTGAGGTTTGGGAACGGGTGAGGTTTGGCAATAGGTGAGGTTTGGCAACGGGTGAGGTTTGGGAACGGGTGAGGTTTGGCAACGGGTGAGGTTTGGCAAGAGGTGAGGTTTGGCAACGGGTGAGGTTTGGCAACGGGTGAGGTTTGTGAGGTTTGGCAACGGGTGAGGTTTGGCAACGGGTGAGGTTTGGCAACGGGTGATGTTTGGCAACGGGTGAGGTTTGGCAATAGGTGAGGTTTGGCAACGGGTGATGTTTGGCAACGGGTGAGGTTTGGCAATAGGTGAGGTTTGGCAACGGGTGAGGTTTGGCAACGGGTGAGGTTTGGCAACGGGTGAGGTTTGGCCACGGGTGAGGTTTGGCAACGGGTGAGGTTTGGCAACGGGTGAGGTTTGGCAACGGATGAGGTTTGGCAACGGGTGAGGTTTGGCAACGGGTGAGGTTTGGCAACGGGTGAGGTTTGGCAATGGGTGACATCGGGCAGCGGGTGACATCGGGCAGCGGGTGACATCGGGCAGCGGGTGACATCGGGCAGCGGGTGACATCGGGCAGCGGGTGACATCGGGCAGCGGGTGACATCGGGCAGCGGGTGACATCGGGCAGCGGGTGACATCGGGCAGCGGGTGACATCGGGCAGCGGGTGACATCGGGCAGCGGGTGACATCGGGCAGCGGGTGACATTGTAGTAGGAGAGGTTGGCAACGGGTGAGTTTGGCCAATGGGAATGGCGATGCTGACTTGATGGGGCCGGTTCAACAAGTGGGAGGCGAAGGCATGGCCATGGGAAGTGGTCGCGCATGGGCATGGGCAATGGGCAATGGGCAGGCACGGGAAATGGGCAGGCAATGGCAAGGGCATGTGCACGGGCATGTTCATGAGCATGAGGATGAGTATGGGCATGGGCGCATACACACAGCCATTGCTAAGCGAGTAAGTTGATTGATAGGCGGGCTTCAGCCTCTTCTATGCTCTTTGGTGCGTGTTAGTACATGTCACTTTACCATCACCCTCCCCCTCACTGTGCATCCGTTTCACCAGTGTAGGTTAACTCCTTGAAAGAGCATCACATTCGTCACATGCCTGCTTTTCCTCTCGTCAATTTTGCGAGACTAGCCAATGTGTGGGTAAAATCGGGCAGTCAATGCAACATGGCTAGCAGGGCCCTATATTGGTTTTGGGGCAGGGTGAAAAATCAGAGTTCACTGCCACATTTATGCTGAAAATCAGCCAAAATTGCCATTTTCTACTAAAAACCACTAGAAAATCACCCAGTTTCTTGGGGGAAAGGCTGATGAATCAGCCTTGGTACATAAAAAAAGGCTGAAAAAGGCTGAATCAGCGTAAAAAGGCTGAAATCTAGGGGCTTGATGGCCAGGCAACAGAAGCAGTCTGGCAGAACGTGCACAGGAAGAAAAGGTCGGTCATGAGATGGCCAGTTGATGTAAATACAAATGGTCAATGCTACATGCACCGTCGAGCACTGAGCTATGCGCTCTCCTGTCTCACTGAATGTCTCTCTACTGCTTGAAACTTACCACTAATTGACAATCACAATACTACGACATGACTGTCAGAATGTTATAGTGCTTACAGTTGTGTAGGCTATAGTGGGGTAGCCCATAAAGGGGTACAACCCAATTAGGGTTTAGTACTTGTACCCAACTTCTGCTCAATGCATTCATTCTCGTTCATTCTTTTGACATGGTTTCAGAGCAGGTCCTCCGCTAGGACCGTTTTCTTTTGGGCCCACCACAGCGCTACCCCGCTAGCTGCACCTAGCGACCCTCGTGCCGCGCCTACTGTCCCTAGCGCCGCCCTCGTGCGGCCTGCCCGTCGCCCCTAGGCCCGTCGCCCTAGGCCCGTCGCCCTAGGCCCGTCGCCCCGGCCCGTCAAGGGCGGCGCGCGGGGCTGCAAGGGCGGCTCGCGGGCTGCAGAGGCGAGGGGCGAGGGGCAGCAGAGGCCTCGGGCAACGGGCCGGGGCCTAGGGGCGACGGGCGACGGGCCGGGGCTAGGAGCGACGGGCCTAGGAGCGACGGGCGTCGGGCCGGGGCCTAGGGGTGACGGGCGAGTGGCCGGGGCTAGGGGCGACGGGCCGGGGCCTAGGGGTCGACGGGCGACGGGCCTAGGTTAGGGGCGATGGGCTGAGGGGCGACGGGCGACGGGCCGGGGCCTAGGGGCGACGGGTGACGGGCCGGTGCCTAGGGGCGACGGGCCGGGGCCTACGGGCGACGGGCGACGGGCGACGGGCCGGGGCCTAGGGGCGACGGGCGACGGGCCGCGGCTAGGGGCGACGGGCCGGGCCGGGGCGACGGGCCTAGGGGCGACAGGCGCGGGCCTAGGGCGACTGGCGACGGGCCAGGGCTAGGGGCGACTGGCGCGAGCCTAGGGGCGTCGGGCGATGGGCCGGGGCGTAGGGGCGTCCGTCGCGGGCGTAGGGGCGTCGGGCGAGGGGCCGGGGCGCGTGGGCTAGGGGCGACGGGCCGGGCTAGGAGCGAGGGGCCGGGGCGCGTGGGCTAGGGGCGACAGGCCGGGCTAGGAGCGACGGGCCGGGGCGCGTGGGCTAGGGGCGACAGGCCGGGCTAGGAGCGACGGGCCTACGGGCCGGGCTAGGGGCGACGGGCCGGCCTAGGGGCGACTGGCGGTAGGGGCAGCATGAGGGCTGCAGAGGGCGGCTAGCGGGGTAGCGCTGTGATGGGCCCAAGGAATAAAACGGTCCTAGCGAAGAACCTGCTCTGAAACCATGTCAGAAGAATGAACGAGAATGGATGAACTATGAAAGAGTTGGGTACAAGTACTAACCCTAATTGGGTTGTACCCCTTATGGGCTGCCCCACTATAGCCTACACAAATGTAAGCACTATAACATTCTGACACGATTGATATACGGTCTCGCTTTCTCCCCTTGTTGCATTTTAACCGATGTAAGTTGGCTGAGTAGGTGACTCATTGTAACGGGATCTGTTGCCATGTATGAGTTGCGCAGGTGCTCCCAAGAAGCGTACGCGGGTGCCCACTTCGACTTGTAGGAGCGAATGCCAAGCTGCTCGGGGGGGGAGAGGTTTTGGAGAAGAGTGGTGTACGCGAGAAGAGACTCATGGTAGTACTGGTTCTTCTCTTGGATGGTGCCTTCCGTCGGAAACGGTAAGCTTCCATCGTAGTACATCCAGATTTGCGCAGTTGTC